TTTAAAAAAAAAAAAAAATAATGTTTCCTCTTTATTCTTATCTGTCATGAAAGCATAACACGTAAAAAAAAAACTTGCTCTACAGGTGGGTTTTTTTTTTCTTTTTCTTTTTCAATTGCTCTGCACGTGGGTTGACTATGCTAGTTTGATAGGGATCCAATAGGCTCCAATCTGAAGTCTTAAGTAGATCATTGTGTTTCTCATCTCCAGTTTGTTAAATGTCATGTCATTAAATGAGACACTCCAACAAAATTGTTATATTACAACTGAAAATTAAAATTATACGGTGATATATTTTAATAAAAATTTTAACGGATATTCCAATAGTATAATTTCCAACGGAATAACTCCGTTGCATGGAATTAGTTTTCTGCAGGAATCTGGTTTTCTTGCTGATTTTTATTTATTTATTTTTTTTTTCAAATATTCTTTCTCTAATATTTCTTTTGAAAATCTAGTTATTTCGTTACAATGGATTTTTGAACTTTATGGAAGAAGGACGGTTAACTGTATCAACCTGCAATTATATAGCACAATGAAATGTTCAGTTCAATTTGCTTTAACTAGAGAAAAAAAAAAACACCAATTAATCTATAGGCAACTTTTAACAAAATTCTTGATTCGTTTTATTCAATTGATAAGAAAAATAAAGAATTTACAAATATAATTTAATAAACAATCGATTCTTCCAGATTCTGGATTGAACAATAAATTACATGGTTTGTCACAATACATGTGGTGTTGCATAAATAATGTTTTTTTTTTCTTATGAGACTCTTAAAGGAAGGAAAGATGTGAGAGCAAATTTATTTTATTTTATCGATAATTGTCTAACTTTTTTTTTTTTTTTCGAAACAGCAGAATACTCATAAATAAAATTACGAGTTTTACAATCCGAGAGGCTAACGATCCCGACTCCACACCCAACAATGGAGGAACAACGAGTCGGTGCCCTAGAATCGCAAACTAGCAATAGCAACTAACATAGGCGATCTCAAACAGAAAAATAACAGTATATAACCATATATATCACACACAAGGAGAAAGAGAAA